CCACCCGGGCACGAGGCAGCACAGTCCAGGCAGATGCAGCTGGGAGCTCTGCGATAGCTTATGTACACACAGCAACGTGATGTGAGCATGTACCCAGCCTGGAACATCTTCAGGAGAAGAAAATTATTCTTGAAATAGAAATTCTTATCTTAGTGATGTGAGAATGGTGGCAGAGGCACAAAGTGCGGTTTGCTGTGGAACTGGATAGGATATGCAATTATCTGAACTGATGAGAGTCCTGTATTTTTTAACTTGGTTGCATTTTTCTAATGCATTCAGCCTGACAGCGGTTCCAGCCGCTATGTTACATTTTTATAATCATTTTTTTTCAGTGCTCAGATATTGTTTTTCTAAAACTTTTGTTTGCCTCAATCTTCTAGTGGCTTTACACTCTCTTTATTTGTTTGGCTTCCAGTGATCATGGCTCAGATGTGGGCTAGCTGTAGTATTCATCTTTCTTGCCTGTCCAGCTTTTCCTGGTGGGTTCCTTCCAGGAATATCCTCTACTCTTCAGTATTTATTCTTTGATGTATTTTTGCAGCTGGTCTATTACTAGATTAGCTTTTTTTATTTTCCAGGGCCATGTATTATTGACCTGAAACATTCTTTAACTGTCTCAAACATGAAGCTACCACTGCACACTCAGTGCCAAAGAGATGCTGAAAATATCTAAGCACCTTTTGGGCAGCTTTCTAGACTTCTGGCTGTGTCAAACACTGAAGCAGAAGCTTGAGTACTGAAACCTCCCTTTTCAGGGAAGGTGAAAGCTAAGGACAGAGCAGTCAATTAAGCCAGGAAGCTGCAGGGACAGCCAAGGTAACAGCTGAGCTGCTAAAGGCCAGCGAGACAATTGTTAACAGAACATTAGGACAACTGCAAAGATAGGAAGAAAAGAGGAGGTGCTGGATAACTGATGCCCTTGGCCAATAGTAACAATTTGAAGAAGAGAGATTAGTGACCAAATTCTTTAGAGAAGTGAGTTTGCTGCAGGAACATGGTGAAAGCAGCTGCCAAAGGATTAAAACCAGTTTTAGAGAATGGGAGGTGGAATGGTAGGAGGAGACAAAGTTGGAAGGAAAATGGAATGTAAAATTCAGGAAAGGGATGGTTGAAGTGAAGGCGGACAGTAGGAGGGACCCGGCAGGAGATGTGGGGATGACAGAGTGCCAGGGAAATCCTGCCAGCACACCCAAGGTCAGCCCAACCTACAGGCCAACTGCCAAGTGGATGGCAGCACGTTGGAGGGGCAGGGTTATGGCCATGCAGGGTTTGAAGGAGGTACAGATGTAGAATGGCAGAGAATGGCATGTCTGTCCGGTCCTTGTGTCCAGGAATATGTTCTGGGACATAGCATGCAGAATTAGACAACTTGCTCTACTAAGAGTCAAATGAAAGCTGTTCTCTAAAAGCAGCCCTGGCAATGCTGGGCAGTGGATTCATGCTGAGGATGCACTCTGCACTGCTGGCTCCTGGGGAGAAAACTTGTGTTTGGGCTACCAACTGTGTGCTGGTATGTTTTGGCTTCAAACACCTTATATGACCTTGTGCAAATCAATATAATCTGAAGTCTAGCTGTAGGCAGCATCCATATCTTTGTGCATACTTCTAGAACCAAAAATGACCGTTTAATGTCTGCTAATTTCAGTGCAGAGTGAACTTTAATCAGAAAAGGTGGTTAGGAGGAAAAATGTGGGTCTGGACATCTATTGGGATTTCCAAATGCACCTTGAATACCAAGCTATATTGACACCAGTGAAGAGGTCTTCACAGACCTTCTGTGTCTTTAGATCTCCAGTATTACCAAAACCCAGCCCACTTAGTGCCCTGCATCCTCCCTCTTGTAAAACAAGGTTGTTGCACAAAGAGTGTGGGGGCTGAGTACAGTTGCTAGTAGCACTGTGTTGTGAGGTTATTTTAAATGAAAGGACCTAGGACTTGGGCCCAGGAAGACAGCAGCCCTAATCCGCACACATCTTACAGCTTTGAAATGTGTCATGCACAGAGCACGTGGTTGGGATGAGTTTAGCTCCTGGAGGGGGAGGTATTGCCAATGATGGGCATTTGCCTTGAAAGAAAACCTGTAGACCTGTTTGCGGTGGGGTTGAGGGCTGAGGCAGATGAAGCTGAGCGTGCGTGCGTGGCAACGTGGCTGTTACCCCAGTGCTCAGTGGACACGTGGTCTTTTGCAAATTGTGGCTTGCACAAGGCTGCTCTTGTAGAGATCAGAAGCCGGAGCGTGAATCGGGAGAGCTTGACTGGAGGATGCCCCATGGGGGAAGCTGGGACCCTACCACATCCTCGTTACTGCTGACCTTGGCGTGAGCTCTGGCTGCTGATGGATCAGCTACGGAGCTGGACAAGACCCTGGGGAACCACTATATTATCTATTATCGTCCCATCAGTGCCTCCCCTGACCCCTCCCAGCTCTGAATGCCACAGGCATCAGGGAGGGAATAAATCTCTGTCTGATACTGAGAGAGAGAAGGGAGCGAAAGCAGAAAAAAGGAGAGATGAAAAATGTCCTTTTTATGACTCTCACAACAAAGCTGGCCACATGATTCGTAGCAAATATTTCTCTGGGAAAAGGGAGGGAGAGAATGGGGGGAATCAGCAAAAAAGCAGAGCTGCTTCTCTTCTCTGAAAGATGCCCATGGGGAATTAATAGAGGGGTATGGGTGACCTTTGAAGGTAAATATCCCAGGAAAGGAAAGAGGCCTCAAAGCTTCAGAAAGCTCACTCCAGTGTCTGATGCTGCCTTGTGAAATGCTCCATGCAGCACACGTCCACCATGAGCAGAAAGCAGATGCATAAGCGATCTGCTGTGCTAGAGGGAGCAGCAGGGCCAGGGTGTGATTAATAAGGCACTTACAGCAACCACAACATTTGTGTTCATTCCTATTGGGGATGAGCCGGGAGACCTCGTACTTGTGAGCCTGGGGAGAACTCCTGACCTTGGTGTCTTCAGGAGACAGAAGCCTTTAGCAGTGCAGCTCAGGGCCTGAGAAGGGGCTGGAGGTGCATTGCCAAGGAGATGTTTGTTTTTCAAAGTGGATATTTCTAAAAGCAAGCAAGTGCTTAGAGTCATGCAAGAAGATTGTATGCCACTGTTCAGCACCCAAACATTCATGTGTCTTAGTTGTGACTGCCTTCCCAATTAGCAGCACTAAGGATGCAATCATACAGGGCTTAGTCTGAAAGCAGAAACAACTTAAATCCAGTGACAACCAAGTTGTTTTGAAGAGGACAGGTCTTGCTGAACCTGGTCAACTGTGACTAGGGCCAGGCTTGGGCTGGAGAGTGCTCACCAAAGCTCGTATCTTTACCTTGTCAGTCATGGAAAAGTATGTTAAATTCCCACTTTTACCAGAATGGCTGTAACAACTTCTTGGTAATCCCAGTAATTTGATTTTGTCTATAACGTGCTTTTAAAGTAAAGGGATAAATACAATAACTCTGCATAAAAGGTAGCTATTAAGGAGCAGGCAAGTTGTACAATAATAACTTTAAATTAAAAGCCCTTTCCCACTACTTCTGCTGTTGTGGGGTCTGCAGATTTTCCTTAAAACTTTTGAAACGTGCCTAGACTTCTTACAGGCAGCCATTTAACCTCCGTTTATGAAGAAATAAAGCAAAATTGATGTTGATTTTTGTCTACATTGGGGGATACTTTTGCAACATAAAAGCCCTTTTGCCTGCAATTTGCAGAGCAGCCCTGTCACATCGGTGAGGGCTGATACTGATAAAGATAAAGCTTTATAGCTGGGGCATTTGCAGCTAACAGCAAGCTAATGCTACATTTTCATTTTGATGCAATTAATGTTAATGTCTGCTACGAAAATTGTCATTAAATACCATTTTAAAATCCATTCAATTTGCATATGCAAAGCCCATTTACTATCATGTAAGATACATGTTGCCGTTCATCATGTCTTTTCTCTAGAATTTGTAGCTGTTATTTTTTCTGGTAGTGATTATTATCTAACTCTTAAAATGAAACCTAATGTCTGGTCCAGACCTGATCAGAGCAAGAAAACCCTCTGTCCTCCAGCAGCAGCAGAGTTGCTTTGGAGCCCCTTTCAAAGGCTCTGAGCATTTTTGTGGACTTACTGGCCCTTCTACACTGCTGTGGTCTCCTGTGGAGGAGGCACAATGGAAGTGTGTGCTTCTAGGCACACCTAGAAGTCAGTCTAAGGTGCCAAAGCTCTCCCCTGCAGACTCCCTGTTGCACAATTCCCCGTGAGAAATCAGCACAGCATGCAGCTGGGAGCTGTTACATGAGGGGGATGTTAAATGGGTCACTTCTAAATGCTGTACCTGTTTGAACCTCAGGCAGGACTCACGTATGCTGGATGCCTTATAAAAATCTTTTAGAAGATGCTATCTCAGTGTGATGCCTTAAATATCCTGCTGCATTGTAAGGGGTTGCTAGGGGAGCAGCAGGTACCAACTCCCCTCCAGCCCTTGGGTGGAAGCCCAAGAAAGCAGGAGAGTGAGTGGTGAAGAGCTTCTTTGCCTTCATTCAGATGTAATACCACTTTCCACCGAATGAAGAGCAATGAACTAACAAGTGGGAGAGCGTAGGATAAAGAACTTGAAGCAATTCTTAATAGCACCAGAGTATTTCAACCAGTATGAACAGGTAGAAATGCTGTTGCTTTGACTTTCTGACCCTGAGAAGGCATTATTCTGGCTTACAACTCTTCATATTCCCTTTAAGTTAAAGGCTTTACACTGGATGTATTTTTAAGGGGTTCCAAGCCCTTGGTGCCAGAGGTGAAATGGGGATGTGTTGTGGCATGTAGATTAGCTTTAGGTAGTTTATTTATCTGACACATGTGCAATCAGACATGGAAGCAATGCTGTGGCTCAGCTGCAGTGTGTCCAGGTTCAGGACGCTTCTCTTTTGGGGACTCTGCTAGCTGAGATGTGGGAGAAATGCAGATGTGAGGGCAGAAAGGTTTAATCTCATTCTGAGAAGGGGCCCAAGCCTTCCCCCTTACCGTGGTGGGACGCCATAGGTCATGTCTGGAGGTACTTTAGGAGGAGATCTATCAAAGCGATTGTATCCAGCATCTTTGCGTCGAATGTCCTTGGCCTTGTAGTACAAATTAAATTCACGGGCTGTGGTGTAACCAGCCTTCAGAGCACCACGGTTCATGGTGATGAAGTCTCGGGCAGTGTTCCGATGTAAATTAGCACTGGGCTCTACCGTGTTCCAGTGGCCTATTGCTGAAGATGGAGGGAAACACAAGAGGCAAAGAGAGAAAGATCAGGCATCTCAGGTAACTGCTATTTGGGAAGGCAGGCTGATGTTTGTGCAGCATGCACAAGAGCTTTTCATGGCTTTCATGCATTTTGCCATGGTTTCACTGTGGAGTGAACTTTGTCTCCTATCCCACTGCATTTCTTATGGGGACATCTCCCATCTGAAATGGATGGTTTCTCATCCTCCACCCTGACTTGCTCAGCAAGTCTGATTTCACAGGGGAATTGTACCTGAGAGCACAAAGTAGGATCTCTCTCAAGTTATGAAAGTTGCTATGTGTACTATCCTTAGTGGGTGCTGTACCCTTCTCTACTCAAGCTCTCTGTGATCCTAGGAAACTTTCCAATATGACAGAGAAACTTTGCTAGTCACCAAGCAATTTGGGTGATATTAATGAAAATGGATGAATGTTGAAGCTCTTCACTTCCAGCATGATGAAGTATTGAAGAACACTGGGAAGGAGAGGAGTGTCCCTGCTAGCATTAGGACTTCATTGCAAGTCTGTATTTTAGTGGTGGTGTCATACCTTCAGAGACCCCTCCGTCTGTCCGTCCGAAGTACAGCCCATATGAAAAATCAAAGCCTGGCAGGGTGTAGCAGTTTCTCTGGGGCTTCCCCAGTTCTGCCTGCAGAAAAGTGAAGTTAAAGGAGAAGCATAAAGACCCTTCCTGATAAGCTAAAGACCCTGAAAATAAGTAAAATAATTGCAACAGAATGTGGCCATGAGTACCAGGAGTGGCTCTGGCTCCATGTGGCACGGATTTGAATACCACTGCCTGGACACAAGTGAACGATGGTGCAAAAGGAGAACTCACAGCCATGAGGCTTTACCAGGGCTGAAGCCTAAGAGATGCGGAATTTCACACAGATTTTTACCTGAGTTGTAAAGCAACCTAGCTTTGCTGGAAATATGAATCCTGACTCAATATGTATAGACTTGAAGTCTCCTCACTTGCTTAATTTCTCCTTTGGCTAGGATGCTTAGCTGTGGTGCCTGCAGGAAAGGCTCTGCAGGTAGTCCGAACTTTCCTTTGAGTTATTTCATTTCCAAGTTGTGCACCCTCCTAGAAAACTGGCACAAACTTCCCCGAGTACAGTCACATCACCATTCCTGCCTGGGAATAATCAAGACACAAGGCATGTTGCAAGGGGGAGGATAAGAGGGATGAAGAAGGGGAAGACAGAGCCCTGGGGTTTATAGCACAGAAAAGAAGAGAACTTGAGCTCAATAACCTCATCTCTATTTAGTTTTAAAATGAACTCTTCCCCAGCCCATGCGTGTCCCAGCCTAGTGGTGTCTGTGGGATTAACTGACCTCCCTTCACCTCTTTGTCTCTACCCTCCCATCTCCATGGTGAAGTCACTGCGGGATGTGTGTCTTGAAACCTTATTGCTGCTTGAAAGGGACGTGGTGGAGGAGGGAAGGAGCAAGAGCCTGGCAGCCTGGGTCTGTGTGGCTGTGCTAGGAGAAGCTGGAGCAGGGTTACACAACAAGGCCCCCAGAGCCTTGAGGCGTGGTGTGGGTGCTTTAGGAGAGGTTATTTTCCTTTGGAATAGTGCTGGGTAAGTTGGGGGGTTGTAGGTGTTGGCAGGTCTTGCTGGGAGAACGGATGTGCTGAAATCCTACTCTAGTGCTTCTCATAGGTGAATCATTGAACATTGGCATTGAACTAACAGTTAGTACACTCCAGAGTGAACACACTCTGGATCAGGAGATGCTGAATCAAATGCAGCCCTTTCTGCAGGGACTGAGTGAACAGAGTGAGACTGAAAATGAACCACCTCCAAATTGCCACTATGGCAGGCTGAGGCTGTACAGCAGCGATAAGAGACACTGCTTACCAGAGCTTCTTGTATAGAAACACCATCCAACCCAAAATTTACGTTCTGCTCCCAGCCAGCACTGTGCAAACCGTGGCCAGGGCCTCAGAGAAGCCACAGCTCTCTTGTACGCTGTCAGCCTAGCGGCACCTTTCCATTGTGCTGTTAGAGGGTACTCACCAAGTGTGCATGATGCTGCTGAACAGCTTGAGCTGTTCTGCGTTACCCTCAGCTCAGGTAAAAGCTCTTATTGAGTCATGCCCAAAACAGACACCTTTTCAGAGGGCTCTGTGTTGAGGTTTCTAGAATTGGCTCATAATTCCTCAAACTTTTTTTGCCTGGAGCCATTTTTTCATGCATTCAGTTTAGAGTTTCTCAGCTCCTGCTCCTATATGCAGCTACACAAAAACTTAAAAACACACACAGTGGCTGCAGCACTGGGCTCCTCACCAGTGTCCCCACGGGTGAGATTGTGCCCACTTGCTTGAGTGACTTGTCTGTACTGACAGCAGTTCTGCTCCTTTGCACATCCTGGCAAACTGGCTGTCAGCTTTGCCAGTTTGTGATCACTGGGATGAATCCTCTGTGCCTGCCAGCCCGTAGAGTGATGCTTTCAGGTAGATGCAGGGTCTTGCTTCCCAGGCCTGGGAGGGAGGTGCTTCATCCTGGCTGTCTTAAATCTATGCACTTGCGATGCTATGAAACAGGTGTGGTATCCTTGTGACTCTTGGGAGCTCGAGTTCACCATGAAATTAATTTTGTGAATTTGCTAACAGCCTTTGATAGATTTGAAAACCCCATCAGGCTCCTTGCCCTGTGTGAAGCTACAGATCCTTTGTTGCAAATGGACGTTTTTTGCAAGCAGTCGACTTGGCTACCTGATACAACCTGTGCATAACATGGCTGCATTCCCCCAGCTGCCTCCTGCAAACCTCTAGCAGAGGAAGGGACTGGCCCTCGCAGATGTGTCCAGCACCAAGCATGATGGGAGTGAGCGGGCTTCTAGTGCTACTGCAACTGAAATGTCACGCGGCAGCGTTAAACCATATGTGCATGCTGTATGTGAGTTACAGAGCTCGCGCAAAGCATATAAACCGGTGCCAGAGATGATAAAGTAGCTTTCATTGCTGATCTATTTCTCCTATATTTACAGGCATTTGTACGCTGGCTATTTTTAGATTAGTTGTCACTGATATACAAGTGAAATGGTGTAACGTTCCTCAGATGCGTGAGGAAAGGCTTTTTGCAGGGATCAGGATACCGGATCAGTTAAGTGAGGTCAGAAATCTGCTATGACAGCAAAGGTGTGGCAGATGGGAGAAAATTGCTGAGAAACTGCTGGAAAGGAGAGAGGTTTGTAATCTGTGGCAAAGCTGCTTTCAGACCCTTGAATACAGAACTCTAGGATGGAAGAAATTATGGGATTTAAAGATTCTCTTTTGTAGAGCACCTGAAGTTAACACAGTTAACAGTTACTCCATCACAAAATGAGCGCATGCTGTTTCCTTTTACAATCAGGTGACATTTTACAGTCACTTTGCACTGAATAAATAAAGCTGAAGGTGCTAGATAATTAATTAAAAAAAAAAACTGGTCCAATATGTTGAACATGGAGAGAACCTGTGCCTAAAGAAAATCAATGGACTCGGAGGACTCAGATTGCCTGCCAACATCTTTTACCTACAAAAGCAAAGAGGAGGAAGGAGGGAGCA